CTATGAAATCCTAAGTTTTGATTTGACCTTCTTTCTCATCGTAATTCTGAAATAAAAGGTCCGAAATGGTTTTGACAGCAAGGGCCTGTTGTATGGGTGTGAAGAGTGAGATGACAGCCAGGGGCACCAGCGTTTCATCTGTCTCAATTGTGACTGTCTTTGTTTTGTCGAGGAACTGTACTGTCGATTGGACTATCGTTTATAAGCCCGCCGTAATAAACTTTAAATTCTGAATTGGCCAGTTTGCCAAACCGTATGTAAACCTTCCTCAGAGGGAGACGATTGGCCGTAAGGGTACATTTAGCTTGTGTACTTTTAGAAGGCCGTAGAATCGAGCCATGGATGCTTTAGTGAGCCTCGCTTTGTACCAGTGCTTGATTGTGATGATCTTTTCTTAAGTCGAACCAAAGTTCCGCTCAATTTTGCCAGTAGTGGCTTTAGGCCGGCGGCGTGGCTTACTCTGTGAGACTTTCGATCATTAAGGAGCGTTCGGATTTAGTTTTGGTAGTCAACTTTATTGAGTACAACCATTGGTCGGCCTTTGTGTTTTCAACACATTTGTTAAAGCGGCTTCGATGATAAAGAACACGGCTTGTATTCGACACACTAATTAGGGAAAATGTCCTCTAAACGGGCCCTGTGGTAGATGCACTGGACCAACACAAGGTCTATATCAGGGCACGGTAGGCATTATTTGGCCTGCGCTCCCGTACTAAGTGCCGAATGTGGAGGCGTGGTGGCACGCTTAGGTAAAGGCAGAGGCCGTGCCACCCACCAGCGCCCGATCTCGCCCCTTTTTCTTGATTCTGTCTTGACACCGGGCACAGGGGAGTGAGAGAACAGAGAGTGGGTAAGATACAGCACGTGTCTGGTATCACTTAAAACTAATCCATGCCCAATTCACTGTCTCTGCACCACCTTGCTGTGGAGTATACAGTGGACGTCGTCGATTTCGACGACGTCCACTGACTTTGAGACGATAAAAAATCTTGAAATAATTGTAAAATTATTAATGCACCTTAGCTTCACACTGGGTTCTACGCTGTCAGCGTTTGTGTTTTCGCAAACTAGGAGAGCAACAACTTCGAGTTTTCGGTTCATTATTGCTAATCACATGGGTTCTTGAATTGCACCTTCTCATACTAACTTCTAACCTTAATGTAGCATTTTGTCCTAGCCGACAGTCGACATTGGTGTCGTCAATTAAGTTTACTGGTTCCTCCTTTGATGAAAAATTAAAGACCAATTCCGTTAAGCCCTGCAAGAAATTTCCAAAATACGAAAAGTCTAATATTTCTGTTTAGCTCGCGAAAGCAGCACCAGTTGTCTAAATCTCTGTGATCTGGTTTCGTTTCAGCCTAGTCCCCTTCGATCCTGTCAGTAAAGTAAAAACTATCGTCTTTTCTCTTTAGATGACCTCCAAAAATTGCGCCACATTGTACAGCGTCAGAAGGCCGAGGTCGCGAGACGTAAGTGACCCACATCGTCACAAATTTCATAGTTTAAACTGCCCTCCTGCCTGCACCATTTCATTTTATTTCCCTTCACAATTCCGTCTTGCTTTAGGTGAAGGAGTGCCTTCAAACGCTCTCCTGACCAGTACAGAAGATAGCAATGCGGTAGCGCACCCGGTGGCGACCTTTACCGATTCTGAGCCCTCCAGACTTCCAGTCAACCGAAAAGTGGCTGAGTGCTCTAGTCCACCTGCATATCGTGGTGAGTTAGCATCGTTGACGACCATATGATTAGTGTATGTGAATTTGCAGGCCTTTCAATAGGGGTCTATTATTCTACGTAGCCTTTTCCTTCATTCTTTCGCAACTGTCCGGAAGCTGCTCCTATTACGACGAATCTTTATTTTGTAGCTTATCTCAGATACCGCAGCCTTACACAGGTGACTAAAACATAAATCTGAGTTGAGCCGTAAGGTAT